GCCGCTTAGTCGACCGGTTGCGGTCTCCCTGGCGGACCCCTCTGGGGGTCCTGTCCTTGCTAGCTTCTCCACTGTCCTACCGTGGCCGGCAGCCCCCTCTGGCTCCCTGTCCGGTCTCTACCTCCCCTCGTTCTCTACGAACTTGGTGAGTGGAGCTGACCTACAGGATAGGGGGGTTGACCAGTTGACCCCTGCGAGTCAGCGGGTGACCCACTGCACGTGTGCTCGCACGGGCCGACACTTGGCCACGTTTACCCGTAGGCCGGGGTCGAGCCTGTACACACTGACTACTGAGTCTCCTCCGGTTGCTGAGTCTGGTCAGGTAGCTGCGTCGAGTCAGGTGTTTGATGCAGCGTCCAGGTCTGGTCCTGAGTCTGCGCCCTGCTCGTGTCGTCTCCTGTCCCACCAGACCCTCCTTTGGCACCACCGCCTTGGTCACCCCTCCCTGCCTCGTCTCCGAGGCATGGCCTCACGTGTCCTTGTCTCTGGTCTCCCCCGGTCCCTACCTCCCCTTCCTCCGGGGCCTGCCCCTACCTGCGTCCCCTGCGTCGAGGGGCGGCAGCGCGCCGCCCCTCACTCCTCCGAGTTTCCTCCGACAGAGGCGCCGCTGCAGACTCTTCACATGGACGTGTGGGGCCCCGCCCGCGTCCGTGGCCAGGGTCACGAGCGTTACTTCCTGTTGGTGGTTGACGACTACTCGCGTTACACCACAGTGTTCCCCTTGCGCAGCAAGGGTGACGTCACTGAGGTGTTGATCGACTGGATCCGCGCAGCTCGTCTCCAGCTCAGAGAGAGTTTCGGCTCGAACTTTCCTGTTCTGCGTCTGCACTCTGACAGAGGCGGGGAGTTTCCCTCTGCCCGTCTAGGAGCCTTCTCTCGTGCACAGGGCATCCGCCAGACCTTCACGCTTCCGGCCTCTTTACAGCAAAATGGGATTGCTGAGCGCCGCATTGGCATGGTTATGGACGTCGCTCGTACGTCCATGATCCATGCGGCTGCTCCCCATTTTCTGTGGCCGTTTGCGGTTCAGTACGCGGCGCATCAGCTCAACCTTCAGCCCCGGGTCTCCTTGCCAGAGACCTCCCCCACCTTGCGGTGGACGGGGAAGGTTGGCGATGCGTCTGCGTTTCGGGTCTGGGGATCTCGGGCGTTTGTCCGCGACTTGTCTACGGACAAGCTGTCCCCCCGTGCTGTCCCCTGCGTCTTCCTTGGCTTCCCCCCTGACGCGCCTGGGTGGCAGTTTTACCACCCCACCTCGCGCCGTGTTCTGTCCTCCCAGGACGTCACCTTTGACGAGTCGGTGCCTTACTACCGTCTCTTCCCCTACCGCACTGCGCCCCTCCCCCCGCCGCCGCTCTTCCTTGCGCCAGGTCCTCCCCCGGTAGACCCCCTCCCCCCTCAGGGTCCTGCCCCGTCAGGTGTGTCCCAGGTTGACGCAGTCGAGCCTGTCGAGGTAGCTGGTGACTCTAGTGCTGCTAGAGGTGCTGAGCCTGCGGGTACCGGGTCTGGAGGTGCTGAGCCTGGGGGTGCGGAGCCTGGGGGTGCTGAGTCCAGGGGTGCGGGGTCTGGGGGTGCTGAGCCTGGGGGTGCTGAGTCTGGGGGTGCTGAGCCTGGGGGTGCTGAGCCTGGGGGTGCGGAGCCTGGGGGTGCTGGGTCTGCTCGTGTGGCCTCTAGCGGTGCTTCGTCGAGGCGGGGGCTACTCTCTCCGCAGGAGCTACGCGAGTGGTTTGCCCGGCGCTGGAGCCGTGCTGCTGGAGCTGGAGGTACTACTGTCGCTGCTGGTCCTGGAGGTGCTCGTACTGGCGGTACTGGAGCTGCTGGGACTGGGGGTGCGGCTGGGGCTGCTGCTGGAGTTTGTTCTGCTGGAGCCGCTGGAGCTGGAGCTGCTGCGGGTGTTGGCGCTGGTGGTTCTGCTGGCGCTGGTGCTTCTGAGGGTGCTGGAGTTGGCGCTGCTGGAGCTGGAGGTGCTGCTGGCGCTGGTGCTGCCGCTGGGGGTACTGGTGCTGTCCCTGCTGGTTCTGGAGGAGCTGCGCGGCCGAGGCCGTACTACGTTCCGCTCCTTCAGCAGGTTCTTGGTCTCCCGCCCTCTACTGGTCCTGCTCCTCCCTTAGAGGGTCCACAGCCTGTCCAGTCGCGGTCATAGTTACAGCCCGCCTCCCCCCTACCTGCTCCTTCTCCCTACACTGGTCCTACTGGAGGTCTTGCTGAGCGTCGTGAGCCTGCGTCTCGTCCTGCGTCGCCTGTTCGTGCTGCTCGCACTAGTCGTCGTGCTCCGCGTCCACGTCCTCCTGCGGTCCCAGGCACACACCAGATGGCACTGCGTCCTTCCACTGCTCCTCTGCGTGTCCCGTTGCCGTCTCCTCCAGAGTCCTCTCTTCCTGTTCTTGCTGACCCGGAGTCGTACTCTCTTCGTGCTGCCAGTCCTACTGTCACACGTCTCCTGGCCACTGTTGTCACTGACCCTTCCTTTGAGTCCACTGCTGCGTCTGCCTTCGTTACTGAGCTTGTCGACTTTGCTGCTCGCTGTCGTCTAGACTACGCCGCTAGTCTCGTTGCTGAGTCTGAGTCTGTCTGTCCTCCGTGCGTCGAGGGTGAGTGTGCTCTTAGCACGGACGTCCTTGAGGACAGGCAGGAGGAGTTCCAGTGTTTTGCTGCTGCTTTGCCTCATCTCGTGTCCACGCTGATTGCCCCTGAGGGAGATCCGGATGCACCAGACATCCCGACTCCTCGATCGTACGCTGAGGCGATCGAGGGTCCCTACTCCTCACAGTGGCAGTAAGCCATGGACGTAGAGATGGCTTCCTGGAAGTCCACAGGCACCTACGTCGACGAGGTTCCCCCACCTGGGGCGAACATCGTCAGTGGCATGTGGATTTTCAGGGTGAAGCGGCCGCCGGGTTCTCCGCCTGTCTTCAAGGCGCGTTACGTGGCTCGAGGCTTCAGTCAGCGGCAGGGAGTTGACTACTTTCAGACCTTCTCTCCCACCCCGAAGATGACCACTCTTCGGGTGCTGCTGCACATAGCCGCTCAGCGCGACTACGAGCTTCACTCTCTTGACTTCAGCACAGCTTTCCTGCAGGGCAGCCTGCACGAGGAGATCTGGCTGCGCCGCCCACCTGGCTTCACTGGGTCGTTTCCTCCTGGTACCCAGTGGAGCCTCCGGCGGCCAGTCTACGGTCTCCGACAGGCGCCCCGTGAGTGGCACGACACACTGAGGACTACACTTGCGGCTCTTGGGTTTGCTCCGTCTACTGCAGACCCGTCGCTGTTTCTGCGCACTGACACCTCTTTGCCGCCGTTCTACATCCTCGTGTACGTCGACGACTTGGTCTTTGCCACAGCTGACACTGCTGGACTCGCCCACGTGAAGTCCGAGCTGCAGAAGAGACACACGTGCACAGACCTGGGTGAACTGCGCAGCTACCTTGGCTTGCAGATCACCCGGGACAGAGCACAGCGCACCATTACCCTGACTCAGTCACACATGGTGCAGCAGGTCCTTCAGCGCTTCAACTTCACGTACTCCTCGCCTCAGGCCACTCCTCTGTCTACTCGCCACTCGCTCTCAGCTCTGCCTTCGGATGAGTCCGTAGAGCCGAGTGGCCCGTACCCAGAGCTTGTTGGCTGCCTCATGTATTTGATGACCAGCACACGACCTGACCTAGCATACCCTCTTAGCATCTTGGCACGCTATGTTGCTCCTGGGAGACACCGACCAGAGCACATGGCTGCAGCGAAGAGGGTGTTGCACTACTTGTGCAGTACGTCGGGCATGGGGCTAGTGCTTGGGGGGCGATGTCCAGTGGTCCTCACAGGTCACGCAGACGCTTCTTGGGCTGACGACCAGGCTACGCAGCGGTCGTCACAGGGTTACACCTTCAGCCTTGGCTCCGGCTCTGTTTCGTGGCGGTCTACCCGCTCGTCTTCTGTTCTCGGCTCCAGCTGTGAGGCTGAGATCTACGCGGGGGCCATGGCTGCACAGGAGCTACGCTGGCTCACCTACCTGCTGACTGACCTAGGAGAGCCGCCTCGTTCTCCTCCAGTTCTGTACGTAGACAACAAGGCCATGCTGGCCTTGTGTCGGGAGCACAGACTGGAGCACAGAACGAAGCACATTGCTCTTCGCTACTTCCTTGCTCGTGAGCTGCAGCAGCGTGGACAGCTGCGCCTTGCTTACGTGGCCTCTCAGGCCAACACTGCTGATATCTTTACCAAGGCACTTCCGCCTGGTGATCATCAGCGCTTCTGTACGATGCTAGGTCTTGTGCCTACTTGGCCTCACTTGCTCACTTCTTGACCTTGCTTGTACTGTGATCTTTCTATACCTGCACTTGCCTGTTTACCTTTATATATGATCTTGCATGTGAACTGGCCTTTTGGCCTTGCTCTTGTGCTCGGATTGTGTGGTGACGTTGTGATCCACCCTGAGCTTGCTTTGCTTTGCTTGACTGGTCTTGTGACCTCTTGTTCTCCCCCACTTTGCCTATGGGGGTGTGTCAAACTTATATGATATAGTCTGTGTAGGCTGTAGTGGGGTAGACTATATGGGGTACAACATTTCTAGGTTTCCTACTTGTACCCACCCCTTTCCTAGTTCATTCATTCTTCGTTCTTTCACAGTCCGGACACGTGCGAAAATTGCGACGTCGTACGGTCGCGTTGCGACCAATTCAATGTCGTAAGGAGGCAATACGAAGAATGCGACGTCGTTTAGACCCTGACGAACTCAATGCCGAGATTTAACGAGTTCAGTAACCACACAATCGTCCGGACGGCTGGCCGGCAGGACGAAAAAATGAAAAATGTAACACGCCCTAAATTTTCTCGCTCTGTTGGCAGAAATTTTCTCGTTCTGCGCTGGCATCCGTCTCTTTCACAGCTTGAATTTGGCGCTGTCTTTTCTTGGTTCTTTTTCTTGAATCTTCTCGACAAGAACATGCTCTGCTCCTACTCCTTTTCCTCCCCTCCCCCCCACCCCTTCTCGCCAGTTCTTCTCCCACCTAGCCGTCGCTCTCGCTCCATCCAGCCGTATCCTCTCCCTCACTACCCGCTGACACCTCTCCAACCCACCTCACAATCACTCCGTCCCATCCACCCCGCCATCTCCTCTCCCTTACCTCCTCGCCATCGCCTCCCTCCTCCTCGCCGTCGCCTCCCTCCTCCTCGCCGTCGCCTCCCTCCTCCCCGCCGTCGCCTATCCTCCTCCCCACCGTCGCATCTCCCCCCGCCGTCGCCTCTCCCTCCTCCCCGCCGTCGCCTCCCTCTTCCCCGCCGTCGCCTCTCCTCCTCCCCGCCGTCGCCTCTCCTCCTCCCTGCCGTCGCATCTCCTCCTTCCCCGCCGTCGCCTCTCCTCCTCCCCGCCGTCGCCTTTCCCTCCTCCCCACGGTCGCCTCTCCCTCCTCCCCGCCGTCGCCTCTCGCTCCTCCCCGCGGTCGCCTCTCCCCACTCCCCGCCGTCGCCTCTCCTTCCCTCTCCGCCGTCTCGTCCGGCGACAGGTGCACGAGTGCAAGCGCGGGTTGGTGCGCGAGCGCGGGTTGTTTTCTCAGGCACCGTGGTTATCAGGTGCGTTCCTGGTCCTTCCGTCCTCCCTTCCCCCTTCTGAAATTTCCGTCCTATTTGTTTTGTTTTGTTTTGATTTTTTTTTTTTTCTCTCCAATATGTCGATTGATATCCACTTGCATTGCACTTTCATTTGAAGAAGAAAGAGATGGAGCGCGAGGGAGAGCGTGTGCGCATATGAGAGCGTGTGAGAGAGCGCGTGAGAGAGCGCGTGAGAGAGCGCGTGAGAGAGCGCGTGAGAGAGCGCGTGAGGGAGCGCATGAGAGAGCGCGTGAGGGTGCGCGTGAGAGAGCGCGTGAGAGAGCGCGTGAGAGAGCGCGTGAGAGAACGCGTGAGCGAGCGCAAGAGAGCGCGTGAGAGAGCGCAAGAGAGCGCGTGCGTGAGAGCGCGTGAGAGAGCACATGAGAGAGTGCGTGAGAGAGCGCGTGAGAGAGCGCGTGAGAGAGCGCGTGTGCCTGGCGGAGACCGTAGACTGGCCGTCGGAGGCTCCACTGGGTGCCAGGAGGGAACGACCCAGTGAAGCCAGGTGGGCGGCACAGCCAGATAACCTCGTGCAGGCTGCCCTGCAAGAACGCACTGCTGAAGTCAAGAGAGTGAAGCTCGTAGTCACGCTGAGCGGCGATGTGCAGCAGAACCCGAAGAGTGGTCATCTTCGGGGTCGGGGAGAAGGTCTGGAAGAAGTCAACTCCCTCTCGCTGACTGAAGCCCCAAGCCACGTAACGTGCCTTGAAGACAGGTGGAGAACCTAGCGGCCGCTTCACCCTGAAAATCCACATGCCACTGACGATGTTCGCCCCAGGCGGGGGAACCTCGTCGACGTAGGTGCCTGTGGACTTCCAGGAAGCCATCTCTGCGTCCATGGCTGACTGCCACTGAGAGGAGTAGGGACCCTCTATCGCCTCTGCCTAGCAGCGCGGGGTCGGGATGTTTGGTGCATCCGGGTCTCCCTCAGGGGCAATCAGCATGGACACGAGATGAGGTAAAGCAGCGGCAAAGAAATCAAACTCCTCCTGCCTGTCCTCAAGGACGTCCGTGCCAAGAGCACACTCACCCCCGACGGACGGAGGACAGACAGACTCTGACTCAGCAACAAGGCTAGCGGTGTAGTCTAGACGACAAGCGGCAGCAAAGTCAACTAACTCAGCGACTAGAGCAGACGCAGCGGAGGACTCAAAGGTAGGGTCAGTGATGACAGTGGCGAGGAGACGCGTGACAGTAGGACTGGCAGCACGAAGGGAGTCAGACTCCGGGTCAGCAAGAGCAGGAAGAGAGGACGCAGGAGGAGACGGCAGGGGGACACGCTGAGGAGCAGTGGAAGGACGAAGCGCCATCTGGTGAGTGCCTGGGACAGCAGGAGGACGCTGACGCGGGACACAACGACCAGTGTGAGCAGCACGAACAGGTGACGCAAAACGAGATTCAGGCGACACAGGACGAGACGCAGGCTCACGACGCTCCGTAAGACCTCCAGTAGGACCAGTGTAAGGAGAAGGACCAGGGAGTGGCGAGGCAGGCAGTAACTGTGACCGCGACTGGACAGACTGAGGACACTCTAAGGAGGGAGCAGGACAAGGAGGAGGCGGCTGACCAAGAACCTGCTGAAGGAGCGGAACGAAGTACGGCCGCGGCCGTGTAGCGCCCCCAGAACCTGCAGAGAGACCACCAGCACCCTCAGCTCCAGAGTCTCCAGCTAGAACTCCCGGAGCACCACCAGTGGCTCCAGCAGCGCCAGTACCTCCAGCACCAACAGCAGCTCCAACTCCAGGGTCCTCAGCACCAGCAGCAGCTCCAACTCCAGGATCTTCAGCACCAGGAGCAGCTCCAACTCCTGGGTCCGCAGCACCAGCAGCAGTACCAGGTCCAGGGTCCGCAGCACCAGCAGAAGCTCCAACTCCAGGGTCCGCAGCACCAGCAGCAACACCAAGTCCAGGGTCCTCAGCACATGCAGTAGCTCCAACTCCAGGGTCCTCAGTACCAGCAGCAGCTCCAACTCCAGGTTCCCAAGCACCAGCAGCGCCACTCCGGAGACTGCAGCACCGAGCGTACCAATCTCGGAGCCGCTGAGGAGAGGGGAGCTCCCGCCTAGGCGGGGAACCACAAGCACTAGCTCCAGCACCACCTCTAGCCCCAGAAGCACCTCTCCTGAGGCTGCAATACCGTGAGTACCACTCACGCAGCTGCTGGGAAGACGGAGGGTCTCCAGGCGCCGTACGCTCAGGTGTAGCACCCCCAGGCTCAGTACCCTCAGTCGCAGCACTCTCAGGTCCAGTACCCCCAAGCTCAGCACCCCCAGACTCCGCACCCCCAGGCTCCTCACCCCCAGGCTCCGCACCCCCAGGCTCTGCACCCCCGGGCTCTGCACACTCAGGCTCCGCACCCCCAGGCTCCGCACCCCAAGCAGGACGAGAGTCGACAGCTACCTCGACAGGCTCAACCGGGTCTACCTGGGACACACCTGAGGGAGCAGCACCCTGAGGGGGGAGGGGGTCTACCACAGCAGCACCTGGAGCGAGGAAGAGAGGCGGGGGGGGGAGCGGGGCAGTGCGGTAGGGGAAGAGGCGGTAGTAGGGGACGGACTCGTCGAAAGTGACGTCCTGAGAAGGCAGGACACGGCGCGAGGTAGGGTGGTAAAATTGCCAACCAGACGCGTCCGGGACAAAGCCAAGGAAGACACAAGGAACAGCGCAGGAGGAGAGCTTGTCCGCGGACGTATCGCGAACAAAGGCTCGAGATCCCCAGACCCGAAAACGTGTCGCATCGCCAACCTTGCCCGTCCAACGCAGTGTCGGCGAAGTCTCCGGAACGGAGACACGGGGCCAGAGGTTGAGCTGATGTGCAGCGTATCGGACCGCAAACGGCCACAGAAAGTGGGGGGCAGCCGCATGGATCAAGGAGGTACGAGCGACCTCCATGACCAAGCCAATGCGGCGCTCAGCAACCCCATTCTGCTGTGGAGAGGCCGGAAGCGTGAACGACTGCTCAATGCCCTCCTTCTGATAGAAAGCCTCCAAGAGGCCGGAGGAAAACTCCCCACCTCTGTCAGAGTGCAGACGCAGGACAGGAAGGTCGGAGTGGAACCTCTCGCTGAGCTGGAGACGGGCAGCGCGGATCCAAGGGATAAAAACATCAGGGACTTCACCCTTGGTGCGCAAGGGGAAGACCGTGGTGTAACGCGAGTAGTCGTCAACAACTATCAAGAAGTACCTCTCGTGACCCTGGCCACGAACGCGGGCTGGGCCCCACACGTCCATGTGGAGCAGTCGTCGGGGGAAAGGAGGAGGAGTGAGGAGCGGCGCGCTGCCGCCCCTCGACACAGGGAAGACAGGGGGGAGCAGGCGAGGGTGGGAGGGGAGGGAGCACCCTGGGAAGACCAGAGACAAGGTACCGGGAGTGCATGCCACGAAGGCGCTGCATGGACGGGTGACCAAGGCGGTGGTGCCAGAGGACAGTCTGGTGTGACAGGGAGCGACACGAGCAGGGGGCCGACAGCTGGCCAGATGCAGACGCAGACGCAGCTACCTGAGGGGACTCAGTGGTCAGTGTGTACAGGTCCGACCCCGGCTGCCGAGTGAACGTAGCCAAGTGGCGACCCGTCCAAGCACACGTGCAGTGTGTCACGCGCTCGTAGGCAGGGGTGAACTGGTGAACACCCCCGTCCTGTAGTGCACTACCTGCCACCAAGTTCGTAGAGAACGAGGGGAGGTAGAGACCTGACAGTGTGCCCGACGGGACCGCCGGACAGGGGAGGACAGTGGAGGAGGTCGCAAGGACCGGACCCCCAGAGGGGTCAGCGAGGGAGACTGCAACTGGCCGAGCAAGCTGCTCAAGGGCAGTGCGGTCACGAAAGAAACAGGGAGAAGCACCTGAGTCCAGTGTGAAGGTGTGTAGTGCCTCAGTAGACTCAGCACCAGAGGGCGCAGACTCACGAGTACCTAGAGCAGCAGCCTCACCAGCACTTGGGGCAGCAGACACGCGAGCACCTGAGGCGGCAGCCTCACCAGCACCTGGGGCAGCAGACGCACTAGCACCTAGAGCGGCAGCCTCACTGGTCCGAATGCCCGGATCGGGCGGAACACACAGGTACTGGGCTCTCTCTCCACTATCAGACATCACATACATGGCACCAAGAATCACATCAAAGTCAAGAGCATAGACATCAATGTTCTTCCTAAGTAGATCAGCCCAGCGGGGCAGCTCAGTGGCACCAGGAAACTGAGTACGCCAGGCGTCGTCAAGGCGGGAGAAGCAGCGCTGTGTGGTGTGCGCCCTGCCACACGTCTGACCAGTGCGGTCACCTGTGCGGATGACGTACGTGCAGCTAAGGCCACCCCCCCCCCCATGCTGAGAGTTCCACTCACGAAGCTCCTGGGGCGACAGAGTCTGCTGCTGGCGTTGACCACCACCTCGACCACCACCTCGACCACCACCGCCCTTGCCACCACCGCGCCCACCGCCGCCACCACCAGCGTCCCCACCCCGGCCACCTCCTCCGCCAGTACCGCCACCACCCCCGCTGCCGCCACCACCCCCACTGCTGCCACTAGCCCCTCCAGTCCCGCCACCACCCCCACCGCCGCCACCGCCCCCACCACCGCCTCCCCCGCCGTCACCTCCACCTCCCTTGCCCCCTTTGCCCTTGCCGCTGCAGCGCCCAGTCTGAGTGGACGCAGTCCCGACCTGCTCAGTCCCTAGGAGGTCGACAGCGGCAGCAGAGGCGACAGAGGGGAGAAGGGGGGAGGGGGAGCACCCCTCGAAGAAAGGGGTGCGGGGGTCGCCACGAGAGGTGCCTACAGCGACAATACTAGCCTCAGCTACAAGCAGTTCCTTCTCGAGTAGAGCAATGGTGAGCTCAGTGGGGCAGCGAGCGAGGAAGTGATCCCTAACCACACGAAGAGAGTCAGGGAGACGGGTGACTAGGTGGTAGAGAGTCAGCCACAGCGGGGGGGGGTTCTTGTCAAGAAACTCAGCGGGCATAGCGGCACGGAAGCGGGCCTCACTAGAGCGGAGGTGTGTGATGAGGTCAGCGATTGTGGAGAAAGCGGACAGGTCTGGGAACAAGTAGGAGAGCGAGAGACGGCCTAGCGTAGCAGAGGCAAGTGAGGAGTAGCGTGCAACTACAGCAGTGTACAGTGCCTGTGCAGTCTTGTGCTGGCCGAAGTGCTCGCGCTCATCTATCGGCAGAGAGTTGCGAATAGCGAAGCGAGCGTGGGCGTCACGAGTCTGCCACTGTGAGCGGGCAGTGCTGTCAGCAATAGCAGCATGGGCAGCAGCGTGTCCTAGAGCGTGATCGTACAGTGAAATATCCTCCTTGGCAGTGAGCTGGAGATACAGGTGCAGGTCATCTAGCCATGTGTCAAACTTCAGTGGGCGGCCCTCAGCATCGAAAGCGAGCACGGTAGGGCT